TTTTTTTTTTTTTTTTTTAATTTTTTTTTTCAACGTTTTTATTTATTTTTTTTTTTGGGACAGAGAGAGACAGAGCATGAACGGGGGAGGGGCAGAGAGAGAGGGAGACACAGAATCGGAAACAGGCTCCAGGCTCCGAGCCATCAGCCCAGAGCCTGACGCGGGGCTCGAACTCACGGACCGCGAGATCGTGACCTGGCTGAAGTCGGACGCTTAACCGACTGCGCCACCCAGGCGCCCCTGTTCTTAATTTCTTTATATTAAATCCAAAGCTTAGATTTATCCCTTGGAAAAAAAATAGAGTAACTGTCAAAAATGAGTAACCCTGTTTGATCTTCATGTAGTGAAGTGTGTACAAAGAAATGAGCCCCCCCTTTTTTTTTTGTTGTTTTATAACCATAACCCATAGGTGAACAATTAATAGAGTCCAGTTAATGTAGATACAATGGCAAGATTATTTTATTTGTAACAACGAGTATGACAAAATACAGAGTGAAGTATGTTCAGGTTATTTACACTGTAATGTAATTTCCTCATATTCTACCCTTTAGTAGTGGGAGATTTTTCTTCTAAAGACTGGAAAAGAACTAGATTAAGAAATGAACTGAAAGATTTTTAACTTAAGTCGGTCATTGCAAACCAATGTAATTACCAGTTATTTATAATTTTTAGATGTCAGTATATACTGAAAATTCTGCCTTTTCCCATTTTAGCAGTTGCTTTGTACCAACAAGTAACTAAAGTTAAATATATGTGTTGACTTTAAGAACAGGAGAGGCCCCAGGCAGTGATTCACACCTGTGGGGTTTTTTGTTCTTAGTTTAAGGGTTACTGTGAATGTCTAAAGCAGAGCAAAATGTTGATCATTTAGTTTGAAAACAGGTTTAATTCTATGCTGGATTTTATTTTTCCTGCATCGAAAGGACATTGGCCTAGGTTCTGTGGATATTGATTGATATCCATCATTAATGTCTGAAACGGAAGGTTTCACACATTAGGATCACAGTTATTGGGTATCAGAGTTTACAGTGTCTTCCTTCATCAGTCATGTGATCTGACCAGTGATGTTCTGATTAATAAAACTGCGTTCTAAATGCAAAGCTTGCAAGGCAGATTTTCTGGAACTGGTACCTCAAGTAAGCAAAAGAAATGAATTTATTTCCATGTTCATTTCAGATGCTTTGTGGGAAATTTCAGTGGAGATGTCAATATTTTGGCACAGATGTCCAAGAAGTGACAGTGCTGAAGGGATTTAACTCTACATGTCTGGCACAGATCTGCGGCTCCTAAGATTGCCAATAGGTGTGTTGAAAGTGGCAAATTGTTGGAAAGGAGCAGAATTCTGTTGATTAAATTGGTGCTTACTAGAGTGCAATAGACTCCTTCATTTCATATTTTACACTTTTGTTATGTGTTGAAACATAATGAAGATGATATCTTCTCTTCCCCTAAAGATTTCAGAAGCTTCTAAGAGAAGCAACCATAAAAGCAAAAAGTTATGCTGTTATGATTTAGGTATTTGTAAAAAATTTTATAAAATGCTATGAGAGTCCAGAGAATCACCCAGCTTGTAATGTATAGGGCCTTAATCAGAGGTATAGCATAGTGGGTATTCATGTTGAGCAATTTGAAAGAGGGATCAGAAAGGGAAGAAGAGATTATAAACAGTAATCTAGTGATGCCTAGTAATCTAGGCAAGAGAAAACAGCTGCTAATGGTAGGTTCAGAAACAGATTTTAAATACATTTACAGATGTAGAGTCAACAGGAACCTTGGCAAAACGTAAATTTGAGGAAAAGGAAAGAATCTAAGATAATTTACAGATTTTCCGCTCAATACCATAAGTGAGATTGGGAATATAGGAAGGGCAGGTTTGTTTGGAGGTGAACATAGTTCAACTTTGGACTTTTATTTATTTATTTAAGTTTATCTATTTTGAGAGAGAGAGAGCATGGGGGAGGGGCAGAGAGAGAGAATTGCAACCAGGCTACACACTGAGAGCATGGAGTCCATTGCGAGGCTGGAACTCATGAACCCCTGAGATCATGACCTGAGCCAAAATCAAGAGTCGGAGGCTTAACTGACTTAGCCACCCAGGCACTCCCAGCTTTGAACATTTTTGAAATGAGGTGCCAGTGGAACTCATGAGTAGAAATGCTTTCAAAGAAGCATTTGGAAATAGAGATCTGGATTTCAGAAGAGAAGTCCGGGTTGGAAGTCCAGATTCATATTTCCAACTGCACATCAGAGGAGTGAGTCTCCCAGCAGCCGACCATATCGCACTAGCAGTAGTTCTAAAAAGTTGGGTGATAGTTGGGGCGCCTGGGTGGTTCAGTCGGTTAAGCGTCCGACTTCAGCTCAGGTCACGATCTCGCGATTCGTGAGTTCG